TGTGCACTGTGCTGTGCACTGTATATATATATATATATATATATATATATATATAATTCTGATTTAAACATAATGACAGTCCTCTTTTCTGATTCATTACACATCAAATACTCACTGCCCAGATTTGAAGTCTTTCTCACTTGCAACCACACAGTTTGTGAGAGACAGTTCATCTGTTGGGCATCTCGCTGCTTGCATTAGCTGTACAGGAAAGAAGAAAAAAGCAGTGATGAAGTGATAGCAAATCACAGAAGCTGACATTTCAGCCTTGATATTCACTTCCAATCAAAAGCTTGTACATGCTCAATCATCTTTTTTAATTAAGGTTTTCTAGAAGCCACCTTTGTTTAGATCAGGGGTTATACGTTGCATTGCATTTTAAGACTGGACTATATTTGCTAATACATTGGCTGAAGTTAACGATATATAGATTTTAGATTAAAAGAATGCAGAAATAATTTTCAATAAACTCCAGACATTGTAACTACATACGTGTTGTGATACTAAAGCCTAAAGCTAAATAGTTGTATCGGTATCATTACTAGTAGTACTAATACAATTTTAAAATGAATAAATAAAAAATTGGGCCATATGGAGATAATTTCATGATAACTAACTGATAACCAAACACTATTTGTAAACTGTTACAGACCATTTGATTAGTCAAAAAAACACCGTCTATTATCCTTTTCACTGAAAAAAATTCTACCTATATGTCTGTCGACACTCACCAGCGGTCTGTTCAAATCATCATTTTCATCACGACAAACACTCATTGAGTAAGGAGTCACTCCCCCATTACCTTTTCTGTAACCTGATATTCACTCATTCAAACACTTACAAATCTCTATGTTTAACCAGCTGAAGCTCGCTCTTAAAAATACTGAGAACATGCAGTAATGCTGTGTGATCTTATAGGATTACTGGAGGGCTTCATTAAACCCTAGTATGGTATTACCAATAACATGAGATGAATTCCAGACCTTCTGAATCTCACGTGATCTCCTCAAATATACAGCCTGTAATCATAATGCTGGCTACTGTATATTGCTTAGTAACTGTGTGTTTGGACTCACTTATCCTGTGATACAACAGAAACAGACACCTGACCACAAGCAACACATACAGTGGGGTCCAAAGGTTTGAGACCACACTGAAAAGCTGCTTATTATTATTACTATTATTTAAACCAGTAAATTTTGTGGAAATCAAATCTAGATTTGAAAACATTCTAATTTGTGTTCTAATCTAACGTTTTTTTTTTATTATTTAATTAATTTTTCCCCATTATAGTGAAAGTTATATAATGTTATATCCAAAATTATATTAATACATATAGAAAATACTGTTACTTATAACAAACAGTAACTTTATCTAATTGTTTTCAAAAAATAAATGTAAGCATTTTCTTGTTGCCTCAGAAGTCCAGTTTTATTTTAGCATTATTTATTATATATATATATATCTTTTTTTTTTTAGTTTTCATTTGTATTATTATTACTATTATTTAAACCAGTAAATTTTGTGGAAATCAAATCTAGATTTGAAAACATTCTAATTTGTGTTCTAATCTAACGTTTTTTTTTTATTATTTAATTAATTTTTCCCCATTATAGTGAAAGTTATATAATGTTATATCCAAAATTATATTAATACATATAGAAAATACTGTTACTTATAACAAACAGTAACTTTATCTAATTGTTTTCAAAAAATAAATGTAAGCATTTTCTTGTTGCCTCAGAAGTCCAGTTTTATTTTAGCATTATTTATTATATATATATATATATATCTTTTTTTTTTTAGTTTTCATTTTAACTTTGCTGAAGTTTTAGTCAGTTGGTTTTTAGTAATTTTGTTATTTTAAAATATTTCTATTTCACTTTAACTTCATTTCATTTTCAGTTTTAGTAAATTTTAGTATTTAAATTTATTTTATTTTACTTAGTTAAGATAATATTTCTAATTTTAGTTTAGGTTAAGTTCAAGTTTATTCAAATTATTTATATTTTATTCCAGCTTTATTTTAAAGAACGAAAACGATTTTATATAAAAACACTGCAAGGCTTGACGAAAGAAAGAAAGAAAGAAAGAAAGAAAGAAAGAAAGAAAGAAAGAAAGAAAGAAAGAAAGAAAAAAAGGCCTCATATTGTATTTTTATTTTCATTTCAGTAGTTGAATAATCATAAATCAATAACCTTGCTTCCTGTCAAAAACAGCATTTATCTATTATTATAATACTCTCGATTCAATTATCTGTAATGACAACAGCCACAGTTATATTAGCATGCATTTGCCAAAGTCACTCTTCAAACGCCTTTAAAGAAAATATAGTTGTCGCTTCCACATTAAAAATTGTAAATATTCTCGTGACTTTTTGTACAAGTAATGTTTTCCTGAAAAGTCCTAAGACGTGATGTGGAGCTTGTCTTCCGGTACTGCACGAGCGTGAACGACGTGTGCAAACACAGCACGAATGAATGGAGCTGAGCCCTGGACATGCTGAGCAGATTGCCGAAATTATGAGTTATTTCTGTGCGACAACAAAACAACCTGAATCATAAACAAATACTCACCCGGCCAGCCATTTTTGCGTTTATCAGGTGATCAAGATGAATTCCGCAAGAACGACACGACTAGACGCTGCCCCTAGCGACTGCTCTCAGCTAAGAGTCTTAACTCTCGTAACAAAAAGCTTGTGCTTTTATTTTGGTGGGTCTTCGCTTCCTGTTTGATGTTCGTGTCTTAGCCAGACACGAACATCAAACCGGAAGCGAAGACCCACCAAAATAAAAGCACGAGCTTGTTGTTATAATGTATTGTAATTATAATAACTTTTTTAATATCGAACTTAAAAATGTATATAAACAATTATAGAAAATGTGCAAGTAATTTAATGATCATAATAACCACAATTTATTTATTATGGGTACATAATAAATGTTTTAGCTCATATGTATAAACTCCTGCCCTCTCAAGTTTGCATGTTTTGTCATAGGTCTTTGTACGGAATAAACTGAGCATCTTACTGGGTTTATAACGAGACAGAAATAACAGTGTTTGTCGCATTAAACTAACCTAATTAATGCAATAATCAAAGCACAAAAAAAAAAATAAAATAATAATCAAAGCACATTGCCCATTAGATGGCGCCAGAGGCATATGAATCTTAACCATTCATTTCTAAGGCCCTTAAATGATCGAAATTGTTCTGAAAAAACTGTTGTACATAATCTTCTACATGCTTTCTGATTGATGGTTCATACTGTTTTGGTAAGTAAAAGTAAGCAAAAGGCTTTTTAGGATAATTCCAACAACGTCCCGCTTCAGAGGTTGCGGTACATGTGCAAACTTTATTTGAGATTTTCTTTTATATTTTGTCCAATGGTTCAATAAACCAATCCATTTGATTAAAAATAAAAAAGACTATTATCTTCCGACTATTAGGCCTATTTCATATGTCAAGCTTTACATTGTTAAATAAAGATAACTCTTGTTGTTTTCCAGGGTTAAACAGTTCACAGGACATGTCCTAATTATAAAGGGGTTCAATTACTCCCTATCATGTTTTAACATCAAAAACAAAGAGTTTAATGTACATTTACACTAACTCCCATGCCAACACATCCACAGTCTCTCAAAGCAAGGGTGTGGCTTTAATGGAGCAGTTGAATATGCCATTTTCTGAGAAGTCAGCAAATTGTAAGCACGAATCACATCAGTGTTTAATATCTAGAACAGATCATGATACACTTTTTAACCCAGAGACGAAAATCTGTCATAATTGACTTACCTTCATGTCATTCTAAATGGAAAAGAGCAGTATAAACATTTTGCTTTACATTTCCTTTTGTTTTCTACAGAAGACAGAAAGTTATACAGGTTTGGAAGGGCATGAGAGTGAGTAAACGATGAAAAATTACATGGACTTTTTTTCTGTCTGGGTTGACAATATCGATTTATCAGTCCAACGGTATAAAACATTTCATTTTAATGTACAATAGTATAAACACATTTTGTTTATAGTAAACACAAGTTGATTTGTGCACATTCAGTGCTTCCATTAAAAGCTGAAGGCTAGTCATGCAGGCTGTGCCACACATCCTGATCAGAGCATGTGAGCACCTACCTATCAATCAGATCACGTGATCTGTTATCAACTGACACACCATACCAACCTGCGCCATTTAACCCTTCTGCTTCGCATAACTGGAATTTCAGTAGTCTGAGATTCTTGAAAGAAGTGCTAAACATTACAAGCATGCACAGACACATACCTGTACACACACACACGTTTTTGAAATAATGTACATTCCATATTAGGATCCAAAACAACTGAACATTTTAATAAAATGGACACACATAAATGAGATTTAGTTAACAAGAGACTTTTGTGTTGTACAAAGACAAGCCATACAACAGTGACTTTCACATGTTCTTTTTTTTTAACATTCCAACAGAATTATATTTCTGATCCTGAAAAGGATGTTTGAGATACATTCAAAACACTTCCCGTCCGTATTGAGCCTGTATCAAAGGTCTACAGTTTAAAAGACTCATCCCATTTTAGGAATTCTCGATCTGCCAGGATGCAGTTTATTTAGTCTATGGCATACTCAGAGTCTTGGCGACAACGCCGGCAGCCTGGATAACACGGTATCGCTCTCGGAGGTTGCGTCGCCGGACGTGCTCATTGGTGATTTCCAGTACATTTGCTTCACGAAACCAGCCTTTCTGTCCATCAGATAGACGGATTCCCTCACACCATCCTAAAGAGGGCAAGAAGTGGTCAGATGGATGAACAAAAATACATTTGGAACACATTTCAACATGTCAGATGTGCTTCCAATAAATGGAAGGTGTAGTGTGACACACCTTCGTTGGTTTTGCGCACGACATTAACGATCTCCGTGGGCTCCAGATTTAATTCGTCTGCTTGGTTTGCCACATACTGCTCCACACACTGCACCTGAGGGCAATCTGTCACACAAAGACACACATGATTAGAAAGTTATTTATCTGCAGAGAGAAAGAATGTGATCAAAATCAAAGGCAAGCACTGACACATCACATATGTGTATAAACCTTAGAGAAATAAGCACCCACACTTACCCCAATCTTCATATATGACTTCTTCTTGATCATTGCTGGGGTTGTCAGGATTCGGGAATGCTGCCAACCACCTGTGCAGGTCAGATCTGATTGGAGAGATTGAAGAAAAGTGACCTATACAGTCTTTAAAGCAGCGTACATCCTTATAGTCAAACTAATCCTGGAGATTACATAGAGGAGTTTTCCAATTGTGGAAATGTATGATGTATACAAAATGAAAAATAATAATATTACTACAAACATTTTTTTTCCCCAAATTATGGTACATACATTCTGATACATTGCTGATATTAAATTATTATTTTTTGTACATTTGTATTTTATTTAATGCAATGATTATACATACCTAATACATACACCAAAAGTTTTTTTTAATTAATTTATTCAGCAAGGATGCAGTAAATTGATCAAAAGTGACAGTAAAGACACTAATGTTATGAAAGATTTCTATTCAAATTAAATGCTGCACGTTTAAAATTTGTATTTATCAAAGAATCCTTTCTTCAACACTCATTATAAGAAACGTTTCTTGAGCACCATATTAGTATATTGAATGATTTCTGAAGGATCATGTGACACTGATGACTGAAGTAATGGCTGCTTTAGCTTTGCTACCACAGGAATAAATTACATTTTAAAATATATTCAAATATTAAACAGTTCTTTTAAAGTTATTTCATTTTTGATCAAATAATTGCAGCCTTGGTAAACATGTTCAAAAATATATTAAAAAAAACGAATAGTAAAATAAATAAATAGTATGCAGTTTATTTATAACTCCACGCACTGTGTAGGAGCTTTCAAAACTCTCTCCATCTGGCGTCCCTGATGATTCTCCAGCAGGGTCAGACAGAGGCTGTGCTCCATGTTCGGGACAGCTGTGTCCTCCCCAAAAGGCTGCACCTGGACCAGGGAGCGATGGGCATGATCGAGGACTACATACCGCTCAGAACTGCAGCACAGGGAAAGAGAAGAAATAAATGAGTGAAGTCTGCTTCAGAAACAATAGGATTAACTAAACAGTAATCGCAAACAGGTGTGTTACGATTTATAAACCATAATTAAAAAGTGAATCCAAATAAATGGCATGTAAACATAATGCAGTGTTTTGTAACCCTCATAAAACAGAGTAAAGCCACAAAACAAACAGGTTTTTCAGCTTTCTACCTTTTCTTGCTGGCAATGATAAGCAGGTCATTGAAGAGAAAGAGGTAGACGGGACTGAATTTGGGGCGGAGGGTCAAGAATGTTCCTCCTCTGTTTACTTCCTGCAGCTCTCCTCGTTTCTCCAAATAACGTGTTTGAGAGACAATTGGCACCGCCTGAATAGATGATTCAATGAGACAACATTTCAACAAATAAATAGATTAATTCAAATAATTATTCTAAAAGGTATATAAAAATATATAATAGTACATATTTTTTAAATATTTTATTAAAGCATTTCATGATTTCAAAACATTAAAAAAGTAATAATTTATAAAGTAATAATTAAGATTCTACACTATTTTAAGGTCACTAATCAAAAGTAAACATTTGTGAAAGTGATCATGTGACATTCTCAAATCTTGCTGGATTACATCAAGTTTTGCAGTTCTAAAATTCATATTTTTACTCATTTTCTTAAGCTCATATAATTAGTCATTTTTTCACTATTTAAAAAAAAATACAATCAGAGCAATTTTAAATGCCACTGTAACCAACTGTATCATTAAAACAAAAATCAATTGCTCACCTTTAGTTTGTCGAACTCCAGCATACCATTAATCTGAATCAGTTCCTCCATCTGCTTCATTTTTCCAACCTGAGTATTACATTCTTCAATGATCTGTGAGGATATGCGTGAGAAGTTTTTTAAGAACACATCTGCCAACACAGCCATAAACAATACATATAAACACCAACACATTCTTTCCGTGCAGACAACTGAAACTGAATACATCATGACATGACAAACATTAAACGTGACCTATTTTGGTTCCTTCATGAACATAAATAAATGCCCTTTATTTGCCTAATGCTATAAAATCTACTTTATTACAATAGTTATCCTTGACTCTAACAAAAATATGGCAGCCTTATATAATCTGAAACATATATTTCTAGTGAGCCGACCTGCATTTACCCTTGTTTTCCACTCTCGCTCTCTTTTCCTTTTATCTTTCTCTCTAATAGGCTATTCTGAGAACAATGAGGTCTAGTTTGATCATAGAACAGTGGGTGAGGAGTGACTTTATAATGAGAGGAAAAACAGGGTGCATTAACTGTGACCTTGAGGTGTTTACCTTGGACACAGAGTCCAGAGCTTTAGATGCTGTTTGTTCCTTATCCGTCCCGACGGCTGTTCTCTTTAGGATATTCTGATGAGAAAAAAAAAAAAGAATTTTACAAATCTGAATTATCTTCATATTACCTGGATCACGCTAGATAATAATGCGATGCCTTGCAAAAGTAGAATTGTGGAAACAAAAACAAAACAAAAGAAAACTCCAACTTCCAACATTTACATACATTCTACAGTTTACAATATTGGGGTCATTAAGATGTTTGTAATATGTTTTTGAAAGAGGTTACTTTTATGCTCACCAAGGCTGCATTTACTGTATTTAAAAATACAGTAAAACAGTCCAATTGTGAAATATTAACGCAAGTTAAAATGATTGTTTTCTATTTTAATATATTTTCAAATGTAATTTATTCCTGTGATGGCAAAGCTATCACATGATCCTTCAGAAATCATTGTAACATGCTGATTTGTTGCTCAAGAAATATTCTTCTTTCATCAATGTTTCTTAGTATTTTTGTGGAAAGTGTGATACATTTTTTTCAGGATTCTTAGACTAATAGAAAGTGTTTTTTGTGAGTTATTCACCCACCTCGATGAGCATTTTATTGCGTGTGATTCGCTGGAAGGGCAGCAACATGAAGGACATGAAGGGCAGTCGTTGACAAATGGGCGACTCCTGGAGTCGGGTGATTATGGTCGCAAACTGAGTGTTAGTTTGCCTGTGACAGATATTAGGCAAAGGAACAAGTGAGAGAATACAAAATACATTTAAATGGATGATAAAAAATATTAGACGAAACAGTTTTTGAGTGCTTGTGTGTGTAGATGTATGAGTTTCTCACATGAGATTACTGTAGGTCTTTTCCTGATAAATCTGGTTTCGAACATAGTCGATATACGCAGGGAAATGATGTTGGGCGTGATAGTGGAGGATGTCACAGATGTCAGAAATGATAACGCTCTCATCTACACGCTCCTCTAGGTCCTTTAGAAACCTGTGAACATCAACAGACAATGGTATTTGTAAATTAATATTTGTGACTGCTGTGACTTGTTTTACAGGCTACACTGCATTGTCGAAGCATTAGACTATTAGTTGACGATGATGTATTTATCCTCCTGAGATTTCATGTTTAATCGTTTTCTACTCTAATTATTGTAAAAAAAAATATCAAACGCTGCTGTCTCAGTAAACTCTGATGGGTTACACCTGGCAAAGCATTTGTAGCAGTAAAATAACAATGTTGCAAATGTAGTCTATGGGGTTCATGTATACAAACAAAACTCATTTGTGGGGTTCAGGCAGTGCCATCTCAGCAAATCTAAACTGTAAATGTCTGCATTTTACACACACACACAGGCACTCACCTCTCGCTGACCTCTTGGATGCGCAGAATGTTTGAGAAGAGTGTCTTTTTGTCCATGTTAATAAGAGTGTCATTCAAGTCACTTGACTCCATAAAATGATCTGTTATCACACGCAGAGAGCGCAAATAGGACATTTCTGATGTAATCACCTCGAACATGCTCTGCACACAGAGAAGGGAAAAACATAAATATTGTTTAAATACAACTTACTCTTCGATTTCTGTAAAATCTTTATATTTGTAGTAATAGCTCCTTTTTTCACGTTCACTTTTATTATCGTCTGTATTGTGCTACATTGTATTGTGTTATTCCACTTCTGTAATGTATTAGACTAATTTGTAATACAAGAAAACAAATTAAATATAGAAAATAAAACGTTGTTTTTTTTTGCATTTTGAAACTATTTTTATAACAATTGAGAAAATTCTCCCTCAAAATTCTCATTACTGTAATGCATCCAGACATTTTTTATGTAGTACAGTATTTAAAAAAAATGTATAAATACTTTATTAAAACAACATTTTGCATAAAAACACATTACATTACAGCAATAAGAATGGAATTTTGTTGCATTATTTTAATTGTCAAGAAAACAAAAAAACCTTAATGTTCTTTATCCATACTGCCTTAATTTTCTAATACACTACTGTTCAAAAGATTTTTTTTCAACAAGGATACATTAATTAGGAATGCATTAAACTGATCAAAAGCGATCAACACTTTTGAAGACATTCATAACGTTACAAAAATTATATTTCAAATAAATGCAGTATAATTGTGTTCAACATTTCTCCAATAATAAGAAATGTTTCTTGAGCTCCACATCAGCATATTAGAATGATTTGTGGAGGATCATGTGACACAATGGCTGCTGAAAATTCAGCTTTGCCATCACAGGAATAAATTATATTTTAAAATATATTAAATCAAAATCTTTTTTTTAAATTGTAACAATATTTGACAGTTTTACTGTTTTTACTAGACTTTTGATCAAATAACTGCAGCCTTGGTGAGCATTAGACCAGTCTTACTGACCACAATCTTTTGTACATGTTTTGTACTTGTGAAATGAACACTCTTCATACTTCCTTTCCCATCCACCCCTTTCCATTCTGTCTTCTCCTAAAGATTTCCATCCTCTCTTTCTTCTCTTTTCCTCTCAAATCACTTTTTCCATTTCCCAAACACATATTCTGTCTTTGAACCTCAAATCTCAGCATATGCTAAGAAGTACATGCTCTCCATGTTCTGTGCCTTGTTCATTGAGGATTTCTGCTCACCTCTTGGTACTTGCACTCCTCTGAACTTAGGGTCTGCAAGACACCACTGTCTCGTACTGCTGGCTGATCCCGCCATAAATTGCTCTGCTTGAGATTTGGAACACTACTGGATCTGGGATGTTTTTCTCCTTTCTCTGGGCTGGATGTATTGTGTGGGTCCATCTGGAAGTCCATGCTGGTTTTACTGATGTTGCGACATACTGTCCTCCTGATCTCCTTGTGTATATATGTTTCTGTGTAAAACTGATACAGCTCTGCAAGGGTCAGAAAATATGGCATTAAACTCAACCCCCTAAAATCAATTTATTGAGAAATGTATGGATGACATCGTTCATCACAATTTCTTTACAGTGTTTCTTTCTTGACTTTCATCTGCCAAACAATTCATTTAGAAAAAAATGATACCCTCAGACTTCCCAGCTTCCAAGTTAACAGATTGTTGGTGATGTGGAATGGCTCGTGGAGGTCTAGAGCTGAGACAGAGATTGAGTTACACACATAGTAAAGACAAATACGACAGCTGTATGACTACAATATTAAAGCTTAAGAGAGCAGAAAGAAATATAAAAAACATAAACATATATACTTCTCAGTGGATCCACGTTTTTCCCCATCAGCCCCTGCACTGTCAGTCTCATCTGTTGATGTCAAAAAAGGAGAAACCAACAATTAAGTACCATAAAACAAATACACAGAGATAATCAATGTCAGTCTGAATCACTTCATTCACTTAAAGAAATGCTTCAAACACATTTTACTTCTGTAATATAACGCATTTCTGAGTGAAATAGTATATTAAAAAAATAATAATAATTAAATAAATTACAGGATGAGATTTGATCTATTAGTATTCATTGGATTGTGAACAGTGGGCATTGAATAAAAGAATTTGTTCTGAAGAAGAAAGTAAGTCATACATGTCTGGAACAGTGTTGTTACTGTTAACTAAAACTAAAATGATTAAAAATCATTTTCGTCAATTGAAATAAAGCTAAATAAAATTAAATATAAATGTCAGATAAAAAACTCAAAATTGGTAAAACTTCACAATAAGGATCTAAAGCATTTATTAAGCTTTTGAGCAATTTGATTAAGTTGATGTTCATTTGAACATTTACTAATACATTATTAAAAGTTTTATCTGTTAATATTATTTAAAGGGATAGTTCACCCAAAAATGAAAATTTTGTTATTAATTACCTTCATGTCGTACAAAACCCGTAAGACCTTCGTTCATCTTCGGAACATAAATTAAAATATTTTTGATGGAATCTGAGAGCTCTCTGACCCTCCCATAGACAGAAAGGGTCCTTACACAATCAAGGTCGAGAAATGGAGCAAGAACATCTGTAAAATAATCCATGTGACATCAGGGGTTCAACCGTAATTTTACAATTGTTGAATAAAGTCGTTTTTTTTTTTCTTTTGCACTCAAAAAGTATTCTCGTAGCTACGTAAAATTACGGTGGAACCCCTGATGTCACATGGATTATTTTACCGATGTCCTTGCTACATTTCTCGACCTTGATCGTGTAAGGACCCTTTCTGCCTATGCAGGGTCAGAGAGCTCTCAGATACCATCAAAAATATCTTAATTTGTGTTCCGAAGATGAACGAAGGTTTTACGGGTTTAGAACGACATGAGGGTGAGTAATTAATGACAGAATTTTCATTTTTGGGTGAACTATCCCTTTAATAGACCTGAACTAACAATAATAAATAGGGTACATTTTGATTCCATGCCTACTTTAAATGCCTTTATGTTACCTATAGACTTGAGAGAATAATTGCTGAGACGTCCTCCGTTCTCATAGGTCTTGGCTGGTGGTGGTGGTGGAGTTCTTTGTGGTCGGGGACTGGCAGGGGGGCTGCACTTTTTAGGGGGAAGCAGAGGGGAGGCAGGGCGTGCTAGAGGCTGAGGCAGAATAATGCGAGGTGGACTCCTGTTATCTAAAGGCATCCTGGGAGGAATGACCGGAGGTGCGTCCTTGCTTACAGTGTCTGATCCCTTCTGATGTCTGGGTGGAGTGACCACCTCCAGGCTAACATCGTAGATGGACTCCTCTGGCTCCTCCAAAGACTGGTCTTTGGGGACGTTTAGAGGAGTCTGAGGAAATGGGACAACAGAGGCGATCAACGTTGGAGGTCCAGGGTCCGATTTCCTCCTCAGCTGTTGCTCTATTAGATTACGAGTCTCCTGAAACTTGCCTTTTTTAACTTGCAGTTCCTCCTTCTTGTTCTCATCTTCAGCTATTGACTCACTCAAAGAATTCAGCTCCTTATTTGACTTCTCTTCGTTCTCTCCCTCTTTGCTTTTGTTCTGATCCTCCATGTCACTGTATTCAATCTCATCATCCTCACCCTCGTCATCATCCTGCTCACTTATTGGCACCCATACGAGCTTCATGCCAGGCCTCTGCAGGTTGCACTCCTCTGGACTTAGGGTCTGCAGGACCCCACTGTCTCGTACTGCCGACTGGTCCCGCCATAAATTGCTCTGCTTGAGATTTGGAACACTACTGGATCTGGGATGTTTTTCTCCTTTCTCTGGGCTGGATGTATTGTGTGGGTCCATCTGGAAGTCCATGCTGGTTTTACTGATGTTGCGACATACTGTCCTCCTGATCTCCTTGTGTATATATGTTTCTGTGTAAAACTGATACAGCTCTGCAAGGGTCAGAAAATATGGCATTAAACTCAACCCCCTAAAATCAATTTATTGAGAAATGTATGGATGACATCGTTCATCACAATTTCTTTACAGTGTTTCTTTCTTGACTTTCATCTGCCAAACAATTCATTTAGAAAAAAATGATACCCTCAGACTTCCCAGCTTCCAAGTTAACAGATTGTTGGTGATGTGGAATGGCTCGTGGAGGTCTAGAGCTGAGACAGAGATTGAGTTACACACATAGTAAAGACAAATACGACAGCTGTATGACTACAATATTAAAGCTTAAGAGAGCAGAAAGAAATATAAAAAACATAAACATATATACTTCTCAGTGGATCCACGTTTTTCCCCATCAGCCCCTGCACTGTCAGTCTCATCTGTTGATGTCAAAAAAGGAGAAACCAACAATTAAGTACCATAAAACAAATACACAGAGATAATCAATGTCAGTCTGAATCACTTCATTCACTTAAAGAAATGCTTCAAACACATTTTACTTCTGTAATATAACGCATTTCTGAGTGAAATAGTATATTAAAAAAATAATAATAATTAAATAAATTACAGGATGAGATTTGATCTATTAGTATTCATTGGATTGTGAACAGTGGGCATTGAATAAAAGAATTTGTTCTGAAGAAGAAAGTAAGTCATACATGTCTGGAACAGTGTTGTTACTGTTAACTAAAACTAAAATGATTAAAAATCATTTTCGTCAATTGAAATAAAGCTAAATAAAATTAAATATAAATGTCAGATAAAAAACTCAAAATTGGTAAAACTTCACAATAAGGATCTAAAGCATTTATTAAGCTTTTGAGCAATTTGATTAAGTTGATGTTCATTTGAACATTTACTAATACATTATTAAAAGTTTTATCTGTTAATATTATTTAAAGGGCCCAAAAATCCAAAAATGAAAATTTTGTTATTAATTACCTTCATGTCGTACCAAACCCGTAAGACCTTCGTTCATCTTCAATTAAGATACTAAGATATTTTTGATGAAATCTGAGAGCTTTCTGTCCCTCCATTTACAGCAATACAACTGAAATGTTCAAGGACCAG